GAAGTGAGCTCTCCTCTTCCCCCATTAGTATCCTCCCATGGGCCCTTTTCCCCAGCTTCCTCACCAGGTAGGCAGTAACCTGGTGTCCCAGTTACCTCCTTACCTGGTGGGTCTCTATTTTCCATGGCTCCTGCCACCATGGAAGCTGGAGGTTCTGCAAGGCTGTGCGTCAGTACGGTTTCTACAGGTGCAGAGGACTAGCTGTAAAGACAGCGGACAGAATCCACATTCTGCACTTCCAGCTACTGTAGCTGCACAACTTTGGGGTGCGCACACACACACAATGCTTCCTGATTCTTACCATTCCCAGGGGCCCTTCTCATATTTGTTAGCTGAAATTTAAAGCTTAGGAAGGAATTTTAATAAATTGCTTTTGAAACCAAAGTAAACATCGGGATAATTTTTTGCACAAAAATAACCACACTCAAGGGGATCAAAAACTCGCATGAAAATTAATTAATTTCGCTTTCCAAGGCCATCTAGGCCCTCCGTGCCAGTCTTTCGGGATAACCGGTGCAGCACCCGGTGCCCAGCAGGAGCTGGAAATCACCAGTCAGACCTCTCACGGATGGCATGGTCAAAGTTAACTTAGCAAATTGAGGGCACTGCGAAGCTCATTAAATAGGCAACGACAGTTGAAGCAATGAGAATTGCTGCTCTTGACCACGCTCACCCTCCCGCAGCCTGCAGGGAGGTAGCCTCGGGGCTCACTGACCCTATGCCAGGAAGCTCTACCCTCAGGACAGGGTGCCAGAGGGCAAGTCACTGCTTCCCTGGGCCTCTGAGTTTCCTAATCAGATTTGCTGTTTTTAAAAATTACTCTAAATGTCAAGTGGAGGACAGATTGGAAAGTGGCAGGGCCAGGCCCGTGGGACCAGTTAGGAGGCGGCAGCTCAAGTCAGGCTGAATCCAGACAGGGGCCTGGCCGAGGTGAGCATGGTGGATGCGAGAAATGGGGTTCAAGGACAGAAGGCCTGGCAAGTTACTGTTGACTTGGATTTTTCTTTCCTCTCTTTTCACACAGTGTATTATGTGGTTACAATGGTGTGTTTGAAGAGGAGCAGGAATTAAATACAGTTAGGGTTTTGGGTTTTTTTTAAGGCATGGAGGATGCTACCAGGCTGAAGAGTCAGGAGGTCTGGCCTTCCCACGGCCGCTAAATGCTGAGCTGTAGCACAAATTCTTGAAACAGGGGTGGGTGTGGTGGCACACGCCTATAATCCCAGCACTCTGGGAGGCTGAGGCAGGTAGATCACCCGAGGTCAGGAGTTCAAGACCAGCCTGGCCAACATGGTGAAACCCCGTCTCTACTAACAATACAAAAATTAGCTGGGTTGGTGGCACATGCCTATAATCCTAGCTACTCGGGAGGCTGAGGCACAAGAACCTGGGAGGCAGAGGTTGCAGTGAGCCAAGACTGCACCGCTGCACTCCAGCCTGGGTGACAGAGTGAGACTCTGTTTCAAAAACAAACAAAACAAAAAAAAGAGTTGGCATGAGAGTGTAGGTGAGACAGGACTGGCCAGGTATCAGGCTGGAGGACAGGCACACAGACTGCCGTGTGATTCTGTCCACCCTGCACCGTGTGAAGTATTCTGTTTTGGAAGAAAAGGGGTGAAGAGCATGGCTGTGGAGCACTTCTTGGTTTTCAGGTCACAGAGTCGCACCCATTTCCTACTTACTGACTCACGTGAAACCACAGTGTTGGCTGGCTTTGAAAAATATTTGATTTTTTTTCAGTCCTGGTTCACTCATTCCCTTCTAAAAACCACCTACCATACCGATACATTCAGTTCCACTCAACAAATGTTTATTGAGCACCTACTATGTGCTGGGACCATGCTAAGAATCCAAGGTGCGTCAGTGAAGAAAACACAGAAAGACCCGCGGCCCACACAAAGGTTACATTCAAGTCGGTTGAAACATAAACCATAAAATATAGATATGTTATAATAAATAGATATTATACGCTTTGTTAGAAATTGGTAAGTGCAAGGAAAACAATATAAGGTATGGGGCATGGGAGTGAGGTGAGTTGCATTTTCCTACAGGGAAGTCAGCGTAGGCCTCACTGAGGTGACATTGACCAGATGTCAACCAGGCAAAGGAGCAAGGCATGAGAGCACCTGCGGAAAGGGCACTTCCGGCAGAAAGGACAGCCAGCGCCAAGGCCAATGGGCATGGGCAGATAAGGGTAAGGGGGCCGCTGTGGCTGGAACAGACTGCTGTTCAGAAACAACAGGCCAGAGTGAGCGAGCAAAGGGACGTGATTAGGGAATCACAGGCAGACAATGGTATGAAGCATGTGGCTTTTATCCTTAATATCCCTGGCGATGGGAAACCACAGTTTTGAGCAGAGAAGTGAGATTTTCAAAGGATCACTCTGGATGCTGCTGGGAAGAGACTGAAGGATGCAGCGATGGAAGCCTGGGGAGGGCCTGGAGGTGGCTGCACGAACGCAGGTGAGAGGCGACGCAGGCTTGGACAAGGGTGGTCACAGTGGAGGGGCAGGAAGCAGCTGGCTCCTGGAGATAATTTGAAGGTAGTTCCCACAGTCTTTCCTGATGCACCAGATGGGAGAGGAGTCAGAATGGCTCCAGGGCTTCCCACTTGAGCTGCAGGAAGATGGAGTGGCCATTACCTGAGACGGGAATGGCTGCAGATGGGGTGGATGTGGGGCAGTTAATCAGAAGGTCAGTGTTGGATTTGTTCACTATGGGAAATCAGGTAGGCAGTGGATTGAAGAGCAAGAAAGAGTTCTACACGGGGCAGGGCGCGGTGGCTCAAGCCTATAATCCCAGCACTTTGGGAGGCTGAGACGGGCGGATCATGAGGTCAGGAGATCGAGACCATCCTGGCTAACACGGTGAAACCCTGTCTCTACTAAAAAAAAAAAATACAAAAACTAGCCGGGCGAGGTGGCGGGCGCCTATAGTCCCAGCTACTCGGGAGGCTGAGGCAGGAGAATGGCGTAAACCCGGGAGGCGGAGCTTGCAGTGAGCTGAGATCCGGCCACTGCACCCCAGCCTGGGTGACAGAGCGAGACTCCGTCTCAAAAAAACAACAACAAAAAAAAGAGTTCTACACGGGAGATAAATGGAAACATCATCAACATATTTAAAGCCATGAGACAGGGTGGGCCCCTCGGAGGACTGGGTATAACCAGGGAAGAAAGGGGGCCCCAGGCAGAGCCCAGGAACCTCCAGCATGGCATGGTCAGAGCAAAGAGAAGGAGCAAGCAGAGGAGATGGAAAAGCCGAGCAGCAAGGAGGAGGGAGACCAAGAGCACCCGGCATCCTGGAAGCTGGTGATGAGGACTCGCCATGTCAAGCAGGATGAGGACGAGAACTGCCCACAGGACCCAGCCACAGGAGGTCGTGGGTGCCCTGAGAAGGGCCATCTGGGTGGAGTGGGAGTGCAAAAGTCTGATGAGACGGCATTTGGGAAAGAAGAAAGGATTAGGATGAGGCAACAGACAAGTAAAACTCCCGTGCGGGGTTCCACCAGAAACGCAACAGGATGGGGCAGTGGGAGGGGAAGAGGGTCAGGGAGGGGGTTGGGGAAGGTGATGGTCGTTTCTGGTTGGGTGGGAAATGGCAGTGTGTCTGTGCGCTTATGGGATGATCCAGCAGAGGGGACAGCAGGTGGCAGGACGAGAGTGAGCTGCATCGGGAGTTGTGGGAGAAGAGCTGGAGTCAGTCCAATAGCAAGGGTTCTGGCGCCACGGGGGCCAAGTGGCTCCTGCCACAGTCACAGGAGAAGGCAGAGTACAGGGGGCTGGGGGCTGGGGGATAGGTGTGTGTGGTTGGGGGAGTCTGAGGAGGTGCCTCAGAGAGGCAGTGGGAGCAGCCAATGCAATGAACTCCCGCAGTTCGTCAGCAGGTGGCTGGGGAGGCCACAGGGCAGCTTAGGGTCACCCCGTTTCTACCACTTTTCACCTATGTAACCTCGAATGAGTTTTTCGCCCTCTCTCTCTCTGCCTCAGTTTCCTAATCTGTAAACCTGAGCAACTGGGGGTCCCTGCCCCCGGAAAACTCATTGACAGCATGTAGATGAGGCAATACCTATGAAGCCCCTAGCTCAGCATCTGCCCATCAGAATCCTTCCTCTCCGGGTGCCTGCGGTGAAGCCCCGGCCCGGCCAACCTGGGCCTCTCCAGTCCCATGCTGGAGCTAGCACTGGGTGTTCCTGGAGAAGCACCGCTTGGCCTCCTCATTCATGCTTTCACGTTGTTTCTCACTCTCACATCCAGACAGACAGCACCGTGAAATCCAAGCTGAGCTGGAACCCGCCTTCTGCAACACACTAGCTGGGAAGGTCCTGGCAAGTTGTTAGGTCTCTCTGGGCCTCGTTTGCATCTCACATAAAAGAGGAGGCAGGACTGAATAAGCTCTAAGGTTCCTTCAAGTTCTAGATTCATGTAATAATGTCTTCCTCAAGAAAAAGAATTAGTCATTGTGTAAAGAAATACACACCTGTAATCCCAACTACACACTGGCTGAGGCAGGAGGCTTGTTTGAGGCTCATTGAGTTCAAGGCTGCAGTGAGATCAGGCCACTACACTCCAGCCTGGGTGACAGGGTGAGACCCTGTCAGAAAAAAAGAAAAGAAAAGAAGAGGGGAGGGGAAACAATGGGGAAAACAATGGGTCTCAGAGAAAATCCTTTAAGAACACACAGAAGCAGTAGAGAGAGCACACACCTGTCCTCATTTGTCCCTGGAGCTGTGGGACGATGCTGTGAAGACCAGACCCAAAGCCAGTCACACAGAGGCAGCAGCTGGACAGGCCTCGCCGACTGAGACCAGTGGCCACACAGACACACACCTAACAAGACAGACCATGAAACACAGACCCAGGCCTACTGCCAAACAGACAACTTCTCCCTCAAAGCACAGTCGTCTTGAGAATGAGAGGCAGCCCATCCTATGGAACCGAGGGCCGTGGCTCTTAAATTTGGGCTTCAAAAGACAAGCTCAGTCCCTGATTTTTTCCACCTGAGAAGGAGGCTTTTCTGAACATGACCCAGTGCGTTCAGAGCGGCCAGGATGAGGAAACACGTCTACAAAGCAGCAGCATAATCCAGACACAAGAAATGGTACGCAAAATAGAACATCAGACGTACTTTTGCAACTGAACATGGTCAAAACCATTTTGCAGCAAGTAACTTTTCCTGAGTTCAAGTAGGAGTTGAGTCCAACATTTATATGTGACACAGCCATGTGAGGTCTCTTCTCTGAGTACAAAGTAAAGTGTGGTAAAGTAAAAAAAAAAAAAAAAAAAATCATTTCTATAATTAGGAGCAGGATTACTTTGCACGTCACATGACCGTGGCTGAATGGGCACAACTTCTTACAAAGCAGTGCCCTGGTTTCACACAACCCTGCAAAACAGGCTCGCACAAACCTCTGGGTGGGAGGTAGCGGAATACACTGAAGGCTAAACACCAAACCACGAAGTTCAGTTGTTACTCGGCCAAATGAGAAATTCAGTGAAGATGAGCTTGGCTCAGGCTTGGGAAGTGGACGCAGGACCACCCCTGCCTCACCAGGGTCCACTTTGGGGCTCTGTGTCCGAAAGGTCCTTGAGAGCATCTTGACTTGACTCCAGCTGAATTCCCAGAAAGCTCCCAGAATCCCGCATGAAACACATCCGAGTTCAACTGTCCTTCGGTTTGAACTGAGAGCCCTAAAGTGCTCCTGGGGCAGTGGCTGGTCCCCATTGATCGAAAACAAGGGACAGCTGGGGTGAAGAAACAAGAGAGCAGCAGATGGCTCAGAAGTGACAAGCTGCTCACCAGCGAGGTCAGCAGTGTGGGCAGCCTGTACAGCAGGTCAGACTGCAGTGGTTTCTGAGCCTAATTTATACATTTATAAGAACTCTGTCCAGAGCTGGGCGTTCCTCAGCATGTGAACTGCATCCACTGTGAGGACATTTCCTGGGATGAAACTTGGGTTGTGTTGAGTACCGAGCCAGTAACACGGACTTGGTCCCAGCTACGTCCAGCCCCGTGAATGAAGGAGCTGCGGTGAATTTGGTCATCCCAGGCTTAGCTCTAAAAAGCACAAGGACTGGGAGCTGAGGTGGAGGGGACTCTGGATAGGGACGGAAGGATGCCGGCTCGGAGACCTCATCATCACTGTCCCCTCCTAAGGGAGGCAGCACACGGGAGTGATTCAAGTCAGGGGCTGCCCACCAGATTCTGAAAGTGCTCGATTTTCATTCCTGCTCTTATGTCTACTGGCTGTGAGCCTGGGGACAAGTTTCTGTACCTCTCGCAGCTGCTGTTTCCTTACCTGTAAAATTGGGATGGTAACACCCATGGTATCATAGGATACTAACCCCTGAAATGCGAAAATCCAGGTGTATGTCGAACACTTGGTATAGAGACTGTGCGTGCCCAAGAGACAGGGTGCCTATTATTGCCTGGAGCACTAAGTGGGAACTAATCAGTGGCTTCATGGACACCGACATTCTGGCGTGGATTTCAGCACTAAAGAACGGCATCCTCTGTCCCACCCCCTCTTCCAAAATCTTGTAAACACTATCCCCACAGGTTATCTGAAACTTGTCCGGATGTGCCTCTGAGCTCCTCTCAGACAGGCGGACAATCTTTCTCCTGGGAATTCTCTAGAGCCTGCCAGTAGTCCAGGAGAGCCTGGAGCTTGACGTGGTGGCAGGCCACGATCCTCCTGAAGCGGCACACAGAGAAGTGTAAGCCCTCTGGGAAAAAGGTCCGCTGGGAGTGGAGCTCCTCCAATCTGATGTTCAGCCTTTCGAGGCAGAGCCCCACAAACACGTCTTCCAGTTTAATGTATGGGACGCTGTTGGAGACATTGTACACCTGACTCGCCACGTCGCCGGAAAACACATAGGCAGTGCCAGAGCAGAATGGGGGGTACCTGTTCCACGGATATTCAGATTTGCTGACAAACCACTTACTGAATGGTTGCCTGATGGGAGACTCATTGCGTTTCAAGAAGCCAGTGAAAAACCTGCTTGTTCGGTTTTTCTTCAGAAGCAGTTCGGTCAGATAGTCAACATTGATGAACATGTCTGAGTCGGTTTTCATCACAAATGCCGCCTGAGGACAAAAGCGATGGACCCATTCCATGCCCATCATGGTCTTCAGGGTCAAATTGTAATAGACGTCTGAGAAATTCTTCTGGATAATGTCCTTGTGTCGCTGGCTCTCCTGGTCCACCTCTTTTGTTTCTGCCGCACTGCTGGTGGTCCCCAGGAGGAAGAATGTCTTCAGCTGCTTTCCCTTCACCATTCTCTCTTTCCCCCACGTCTGCCGGATGGCCATGCGCTCAGCGAACTGTTTGTGGGATGAGGTCACCAGTAGAACAAGGAAGGGGGGTGTCTGACTGCAGTCTGTATCTGGGAGCTTAAGGAAGGGCCCGTCCTCTTTCTTGTAAGGAAAGGGCTGTTCTTTGAAAGGATTCAGATTGTACATGCTAAAATACCAACAAAGAGCCCCCAAAACCAGAAGGCAAATATATATCAATCTCATCTTCGGGCAAGCCATCTGAAAGGAACAAAATCCAATGATTAGACCTCAAAAGCATGAGGATGTGTCTAGTTTCATGCTAGAAGGCTGAGGTGGGAGAGGAGACCCGTGTTTTGGAAACTCTAAAACCTCGATGAATACAGAAGTCGGGTGCTGCATGGTTAAACAGTAAAGCACAGAGGTCTGACATCTGCCAGCATCTGTCACTTCATGGTGTAAGATAAAAAGCTCAGAGATTCTGGGCATTGGTCCCGGCTCTGCAGCCCTAAACCTATGGGAGTCACCGATTGCCTGTCTGTAGGGATATGGGACCAGGTCCCTCACTCACTCCCCCAGCTCTGCCGTTCTCTGACTCCATGATGAAGCGCAGCAAAACAAGCTGCGGGTCTGGAAACCACGCTTGCACTCTTCTCTGATCTAATTAAGCAGCATTCCTGCTCCCCAAAAAAAGCAAGTCCAGTGTTCTGATGTGCACAAGTACCTTCAAATTCCGTCTCTGCCAGAATTATTATTATTTTTTTTACGTTACTTTTTACAGTCTCTGATCTGATTCTCTCCTCTTCTGCCCACCCGTCTCTGCTATCCTCGGCAAGTTCAGGATCATCCGTGGTAATGTTATAACATTAAGAAAGCGTATAACTCACTTTTTGCTGGGTAAGAGGACCCTCCGGTTTGAAAGCTAAAGCCACAGTGTAAATGCCAGGAGGAAATTTGTTTCAAAGAACTGTCAGTGTAGAGTGCTTCACAATTATCAGATTCTGGGCTTGGTTTGTTTACCAAAAATGATGATTCTGTCAGGAATCACTAGGAACAAAAAAAAAAAAAAAGAGTGTCGTTCAAATCAATCGTGCCTTACCAGCAGGCCTTCACAATTTGCCGTGTCTGTAGTGTCACCTTCCAACCTACTTATGTGACTCTGAGCATGCATTTGAGCCCCCATCCCAGCCTCACTTTTCTCATGGGTATGATCAAGGCAAACAAAGTCCACAACAGTAACAATATGCCAATCCCCTAGAATCCTTCAAGCCTAGAAAGTTAAGAGAGGACCTAGCAGCTTTTTAAAGAGACACGGTAAACTCATAAATTAGAGTCTCACTTCTCATCCTGATAATTTACCTTATTTACATAACAGAGTCTGTAGGTAATGCTGAGAGAATTTAACACAGATAATAAATCCATTTCTTAACACAATAGCGGCACTTTAAAAATGTCATCCTGGGTGAGAGGACAGAAAGGACAGCAAGAAATGAAAGTGAAAGAGTGAAAAGTGGAGTTGGTTTGGACTTTTTTTTTTTTTTTTTTT